TTTTATACCAGCATAGACTCTGGATAGTTATTGATAATAAATAAATGTGATCAAATTGTATGATGATTGACACATTCTTCTTTTTCTACTTTATAATCTTCTCCAAGATTCAACGATGCGACATGAGTGAATGCTTTTGAATCCCCATCTGAAAGCATTTTCGTATAGCGAAATCCATAATTTTCGGACCGTTTCCATAAGTTTTCAGCAATTGTAGCTTCCATTGCTCCTGACGATCCTGAATGATTTTTACGACATTGGCCGACATGACCTTGCGACCAAAACTCGAATTCCGGCGAATCTTCACCCAATAGAGCTGCTGTGAACGAACATTCTTGACAAAACTTCGTTGCAATATCAAAATCGATGATGAATCCAGTAACCAAATCAATTACACTGGCAAAACCAACTTGCGATCTAAAACCTTTGGTAGGCCACGAACCGTCATAACTGACACCTAAATTCAGTTTCTTTTCAAGCCCTTGCTCCGTTCGAATTTTTGCTGCACTTTCTAATTCGTCATTAGAAATCAAATAAGAACTATTGTCACTGTCACAATTCATTTCTTCGTCGTCGTCAGAGTTACTGTTTTCGTCACTGTCACTATCGACTTGTTGATCTTCAACCACACATGAACTTGTGTATGTATCTTTGACAACAGTTCGACATTCGTTCAAAATCACTTCAGTCGACTCATCAACAGCAGTTTCGATTCGTTCCATATGATCTTTGAAAGAAGCACAGGAAAAAGGTTGCATGTTCATAATCATAGCAAAATTTTGTATGCTTGAATAGCCTCTACCTTCATACAAAAATGCTAAGCTCAGCCTTACATTCACATCGAAAGGAGGCCTGCTACTACTTTTGGTGCAAACTCTTTTTGACGTATATATACTTGTCTTATCTGTCTCTAATCCAAGCAACTCACAGTATGAACATTTCAAAACAATTTTCCTCGAGAATCCCCAAGACTGTGAATCTAACTCGAAACGCAATGTACTATGATCGCAATCGACACACTTCGTTATTGACAATAATGACGATATTTGTGAAAAATCGAGCAAGATGTACTGCGATTCACTAACTTTTTCTTGGTCGCACTCATCCATCGTTTCTTCAGCTGTAGTTTCAGTTATATCTTCATAAAATTCTTCAGACACTGCATTTATTTCTTCTGCTTCATTGTTTTCATTTTTATTTCTTTTACTAATATTCGCTATGGCATCCGCTTTCATTTGTGAACGTAAGCTTTTCTGACACGAAGCTTTTTTCCATTTTTTTGTTGCCAATTCACTATAATACACAGACAGATTTTTACGTCGAGGCATGATTGACAGTGATAACTACTAGGTTCACGTCTGACTGTATCTCAAGTTCGCACTGAATACACTAATCGATTACACATCTTCATATTTATTATACATAAAAGCTAGTGCTGTTTGAAAAAAAAAAAGAAAAAAAAAGGGCTTTCGAAAAAATGCTACTCCTCCCTCAATTTTTGAGATTTTGAGGTCAAAATTTTTTTGTATATAGTTTTTATTATTTTAAAGAAGATAGCGCATGGGTTTTAAAAAATATTGATTCCTTCCACAAAAAAAAAATAAAAACCCAAAAAAAAATTTTTTTTTGTTGAAAAACGGCCAAAATAAGCATAAAAAATTTTTTTTTTAAATTTCTGATAACGCCATTCGATTCAGCGGGAAAAACTACGTTATAAATATAATTATCAGCCTCCTGCGATTTTTTTAAAGGTAGGCTGAAAATTCATCTGCCCCCCCCCCCTTAACAATACTAGTCTTTTCGTTAATTCTAATTTCTTTGTATTCTTACTTAAGCTCGGCGCTCCGTCTGGCTGGTCGTTTCCCCAGTCGCGCCCTTTACCTGGAAACCACCGGCGTTTCCCTGTTGTTGTTTCTTTTGTTCATTAAAAATTCTTTTGTTAGATCTTATTTTCCAGTGACCTTTAATACCACTATAATTACAAATAGTCGAATCTCTGTTTGGATTTCCTGGTCCGTAATCATTAGAATTAAAACTTTCCTGGTATTGATTTTTTGATGCAGAGTTCTGATTTGCTTGGGGCGGAGCTACTTATTGGCTCATTCTTTCTCTATTGGCTGTATTTTGACTACTCATTTGCTTTTGGTCTTCGTTACTATTGAATCTTTCATTTCTAAATTTCGTACTGCCATTGTTAGGGTAAATACACGTATCTGCTAAATGATTTGACAACTTACAAATTTGACATACTTGCGAGTTATCTGTTTTTACTATTATAGATAGTATAGTAACAAAAACTATAATGTATAATGTATAATGTATAATAGCCGAATAAGTATATGTAAAAAGATGGCGGTGAGACGGAGAAATAAGTAGGGTAGTAAAAATATGGTAGTAAGTTGGAGATATAGATAGAATAATTATAATAAGGAAGAATAATAAAAAAGAGAAATAGATAACCAAAAGTAGGTTCTATTCTTAACCGATACATCTTGAACTTTGGTCGATATATAAGAAGATTTACATTAGAAATGATGTAAACGATATTTTATTCTGAGTGTGTTATTGGTAGTTCATACAAAAAAATGACATCTTTACATAAAGAATATTTCTGAAGGTGGAAATAAGGGTTGGGTTCGGGTTTGAGTCACACATTTATATGCTCACGTGTCTAATAGTTTTAAATTGTATAAAAGGAACTCCATTCACAGAAGATGAAATATATATATATATATATATATATATATATACACTTCATCTCTTACTTTCGGAATGTTCCAAGAGTTTAAAAAGTCAGCGATTTTTTGTATTTTTCTCTAGTTAGAATTAGAATATTGGAATAATATTTAAAAAATCTATCTATATACTCTTGTAAAATCACGGTATATAAAATATTTAGATGTCTAACCTATATCTTAAGAATATTTTAAGAATGGAAACGAGTTACACATTTTGTTGCTGACTTCTCCAGCCATTGCTTCCTTACGCAAGCGTGTATAGTCTAGATAGAGACAGAAATAGAGCGGCATATTCAGTCGCAATTATGGCGTCAAGCGGTAGAGATCCGTTCGATGCTACGCTAAATAGGCATTATAAATGTCATCCTAGTGTAAAAGTGGGTACAATGGTGTGCATGGTTTGTAGTCATTTTTACTATACGAATGAAATAGTGGCTAAATATACTGCAGGAAACCCAGTCAAATTGCTAAACAGCACTTTTATAAGCTGTCAAGATCACCCAGATGTCGCATTAACCTCAAACTTACATACGATAAACTCAATGAACAGGCAAGAAAGATCATCGCTCAGCTAAAAGTTGTAAGTAGAGAGCAAATTAAACGAGAAATTATAAATGAAATATTACATTAAAAACAAAAGGAAAATGGAAAATGCATGGAAGCAACAACTTTCGAGGAGTATGATGAGTTACAAGTTCTATAAATTGAAAATAATTTATTGAAAGAACTGTAAAAAGAAACAAAAGAAAAAAACATTTTATTAAATGAATTATTAATCAAAGAAAAGCAAAACAAACCGAAAAATATCTTCAAAAGTACATACGCAGAAATTGCTAACATGACTAAGCCGAAGTCAAAAAGAGTACCAAGATTAATAATTAAACAAACAAATAAAAATGACAATATGAACCTCGAAAATGCTGTGGTTCACTACAAATTGATCAAAGATAAAAATATACAAACAAATAAAGTTCAAACAGTCAATAGTCACAGTCATTATTCATTGTAAGAACGAGGAAAGCATCAGTGCTATCGAAAAAACTTTAACAAAAAGCTACATACAAGTGTAAAAATTTAAAAAGGACAAATTAAACAATCAATATTGAAAATTACTGGAATCAAAAAAATTTGACATTGAATGAAAAAGCTATAGAATTAGATATCAATTTTATCAGTTACGGTGAGAAATGCAAAGTATTGCATTCCTGTTCAAACAAAAAACTGTAAACGACAACAGCAATTATTGAAGTAGCAGTAAATTTATACAAATCTATAAAAGAAAATAAAAATAAGCTTTTTGTAGGATGCCAAAGTTGCTGAGTATATTGTATCACAAATATAAGTCCCTGCTATCACTGTGCTAGATTCGGATACAGCGGATACAAATGTAAAAATTGAGCCACATGTTGAAAATGAGGAGGCAATCACACAACTGCTAGATACACAAGTGACATACTCAAATGTCCAAACTGTATCCGTGACAATGAAAAATATAAAACTAAATATAGTATTGATCATAGTGCAATTGACAGCCAATACTGTGAAATACTGAGAAACAAAATTAAAAAAATACATTGAAATGACTGACTATTCGATTCAGCCAACACATCAACGCTACTTTGGGAAAATTGAACTAGCTGACCAGCAACATGATCGCCTGGCATCTCTTCAGAGGAAAATATTCTGACAGTTAAAGGCGGTTAAAATGAATTAACCGTACTATAACAACTAAACCTAAGCATTCTATTGCACTAGTTCTCTTCATTCTTTGGTGGAAGCATAGTCGACTGTAGCAGTACTGTCTATTATGAAGTGAGTTATGCCTATAATCATATAGTAGAAATTCATTGCGTTCACATAGATAATGTGCGCTGATGAATGTTATAACTTTTTTATGTAATGTATACGTTTGGTTATTCTCCTCAGCCTTGGTAAGGATGATAAAAAAGTCAGCGAACTATTAGTAAATGTAGCAATAAAGTGACTAAAAATAATCTCATAGGAAAAGATTTATTCGAACATCCTATGAAATCTTATTCATTTACAAATATTTATTTCTCAAAAAATAAGATGCTCTTTTATAAAATTACTACATTTTGAAAATTATCAAAAAATTGACATCGTTTTGCAGCTCTAATATATCAACCGATTTTCTAATTATATTATTTGTTTACTTATTAAATAAAGAAAAATATGTAAAAATGTTACTAAAATAATTTTGAAAGTTATTTAATAAGATACATAACTTAATTTCGTTTTCAGCACAACAATTGAGTACTTATGTAACTTTGAAATTGAAAAACGTCAAGTCGACAACTGTAACTGTAAAAGGACTGAACCCTTGCTGGGAACAAGATTTTCTTTTGTAAGTATTATTGAAATATATTCTGCTTTTATTTCATCAAAGTGTATTTATACGTTGTGATTAGTTTGGTTTATACTTAAATGAATATAAAGTATACATGGTTTTTGAAAAATTCAAGTTATTTAAAAGTATTTATAAGGTATGTTTTTATCGATCTTCTTAAGATAAAAAGGTACAAGGTATAATAAAACGTAATTTATTATTTTTGCCGTATCTCATAAATCTTGTTTACTTGAGTTAGAGTTTATTCGCTATAGCCAGTACATACATCTCACATTAACACCAATAGTTTGATGGATCATGGCCAACCCAACCGCTCGCCTTGAATGATTTCGTGACCAGTAATTTTCATGAAATAATGTCTACAGAATAATATTAACAATTAATTTTTTAACGAATGTTTCTTCATGGTAGATTCTTCATTGAAAATTTGAAAAAAAATATATATTAAAATATTATTGTTCAGAGATAATTTTATTAATAGTTTTCATAAATGAATTAAATTATAGATGAAAGTAAGTATGGTCGATTACTATGAGCTCGATATTATTGGAAAGTTTCTTCATAAATGACCGATATACAACTTGATTGTTATTGTAAATATTCTCGGTAACATAAAATATCTTACGAAAGAATTAGAGGTATTTTATTTTAGATTTCTAAAAAGGTAAAGTTTTTGTACATATTATAGTTCAACAAGGCTCAAAGTATATTGTCACGTAAGTACGACTTTGTGAGTACTTTTGGTTTGCAGTTTCAAGTGCTCCAACCAGGCGACTCATTGAATGGTGTTGCTTTATTTTATTATCGACAAACCTACTACGCGGTGCAACTTGTAATTTTTGTAAGCTTACCACGCGGGGCAACTCATGATTTAAACTAGCTAACCACGCGAGGTTACTTGTAATTTTAGCAAGCTAACCTCACGAGATGACTTATAATTTAAAAACAGGAGTGATGAGTCAAACTAATCTTCCTCGCGAAGCTAACTCGAAATTGGGGAAAATAAAAGGTGAAAATTTGAAGGATTGAATTTAGAATTTTTATTACTTTTTATTTATTTTTTTTTATTCATGAGCACAAATCGAAAAATACTAAAAGTTAGAGCTTTGCGCGTTCGAATGTACATATATATATATTTTTTTCCTTCTGAGGGCTTCTCTGGAGGTTGATTCCCTTCCTTAAGTCGGTGGTAGCGAAGAACTGCTTGTTAAAATTTCCTTTGCGTGGATTATAATTGCGGAAGGTGGAGGGAGATAGAAAATTTCTTCCTTAGGCCCCCAAAGCTTCTTTTTGGCAATTATCTGATTACTCGAGAGATTTTCTCGCTGAAAGTAGCCCTCTTAAATGGGCCGGAGGGCATGACTTTTCCGTTAGATTGAGGTAAGTACTCTTTTATGTTGGTGCTATTCTCTCCAGAGAAGGCTCTTGATGTATCTTATTTTATCTTATTTTTCTTATTTTATTTATTTATTTATTTATATTTTCGCGCAAAGCTCTTTACAAGTTAGTTAATTAATCGTATTAACAAAATTGAATTTTGTCGATATAAGTCAAAAATTATTATTCGTAATGAATATTTTTGAATTTATTCAGTATATATGAACGATAATGTTATTTACTCTTAAATATTAACTTAGTTATCAAAAGTAGCGAAAATATATATTTTAAACAAAAATCTCAACTTATGTCTAACATAAAATAAAAGAAACATTAAGACTAAGAGAAAGACATATTTTTAGAACGTATGAATAAGGTGTAAATATTTTAATCTTATTTCACTCTTAATTTGTCAAATATTCAGATATTTTCGTGCTTCATTCATAAATTTCAATTAATTTTCTTTGTTTTAATAAAAGTATGCTTTTTGTATATTAAGCCATGCTGCTCTTGATTAAACTTCGCAGATTATTATTAATAAACCAAAACGTATGATAATGAAACTGAAAACATACAAGTGCATGAATTTCATTAAATAATTATTTTCGAGTAGCATAACCGTTTACCAGATTTTCACGAAACGCAAAAGTAGTAGGGGCTAAGGGGATCTTGAGCCACTTACCATACGATTTTTCGATACCTACTCTACCGACGATCGGTAACATTATAAATCCTCATGTTGGCGATCTATGAGCTGCTTTATCGACCGATGTATATCGACCTGCTTGACGGGCATCGTTTGCGACCGACTGTGTGCCGACGTGCAGACCCCATGGGCCCCGCCGGCAATTACCGACTCTTGTATCGACGTGCGTGCTCCCAGCCCAATGCCCCATGCTGCATGCCCCTTGTTCCATGCCAAAATAAAAAATGCTTGGTTTATGCTGATTGATTGTGATTGAGTAGAAAGTATAGTTCTGTGTAAGTATAAAAGTTTTTTTTTATTATCAACTTTCGAGGTTAGGTTTATTAAATAAACAGAGATATAATTTACATGAAAAAAATGGAGGTTAGATTTCACTCGAGGGGAGTGTGGACGTGACTTGGATGTGAGCGCGAGTTTTGGTGATAAAGTCAAAGAGGAAAAGTGTTTGAGGAGAGAAATAGAGGTGAGAAGAGCGTGGAGGTGGAGGAGGAGTGGAGAAGAGAGAGAGAGAGGCCTGGAGAAGAGCAGGAAAAAGCAGAGAGAAAGGAATAAAGAAAAAAAATAAAAGTTGAGGTTAAGAGAGAAAATCAGAAAGCGGGAAAGCAGGCAGAGAGGAGGGGTGGTAAGAAGTAAAGGCAGAGACAGAAAAGGTAAGACAGGTAATAAAGGTGGGATCACGGATAGTTATAGAGAGACGAATTAAGGCGTACGGGATAGAATGGAAAGATTTGTGACAACAGAAAAATTAAGAGATAAAGGCGGAAGGTTGGATAAGAAAGGCCCAGAGGAGGAAAAGAAGAAAAGAGTAAAGGTGGTGAGGGGGAGAGAGAGCGGGGAGGGGCTGAGGGAGAATAATAGAGGAGAAATGAGAGAGGCAAAGAGATGCAAGAGTGAGAGCGAGGGAAGCGAGATGGATGGAGAGGGGGGAGAAGGATTGGACAACACGTTAAGAGAAGTGGGAAAAATTAGTGGTGCAGAAGAAATAATGGAAAAGATACGGACAGACATAAGGGAATTAAGAGAGGTATGGGAGGAGGAAAGGAAAGAATGGACAGAAATGTTTAAAGAAATAATGGGAAAAATGGAAAGAATGGAGGTAGAGAGGAAAAGAAGAGAAGAAAGGTGGGAGAAGGAAATAGGAAAAGTTAGGAAATAACAAGAGAGAGAGAGAGAGAGAGAGAGAGAGAGAGAGAAGAAAGAAAGAAAGAGACGAAAGAAGAAAGGGAAAAAATAGAACGTAAAGAAAAGAAACTGCAGGAAAAATGGAGAGAGAGGATGGACCAGTTGGAAGAGGAGTGCGTGAAACTAAAAGAAAGCATAGAAGGAGGAAACAAGAAGCAAAGAGGAACAGAAGTAGGCAATAAGGAAGAATTAGAGCATATGAGAGAAAAAATGGATAGAGAAAGTAGGATAAACAATATAATAGTAACAGACTTAGAGGGTGAGTTAAGATGGGAAAAGAAGGGAGAGGTAGAGGTCTGGTTAAGGGAGGTACTAGAAATGAAAGGAGAGATAGTGAATCTGAGAAGAATAGGAGGAACAGCGGAGAGGGATGATCGGAGAGAAAGAAGAAAAAAACATGTGGCAAATTAAATGCGCTTCATGGGAACAAAAAGAAGGAATTATGAAGAAGAAAAAGAATCTGGCACAGAAAAAGATATACATAGATCAGGACTGGACGTGGAAGCAGAGAAGGATAAAAGAGGAAGTAAGAAGGAAAGTGAAAGAAATAAAAAGTAAAGGTAAAGAGGTAAAAATGTGGCATAACGGGGTGAAGTCAGAGGAAGAAGAATGGTGGTGGAGCGAGAGAGAGGGAAAAATGGTAGGAAAGGGGGCGGAAGGGTTTCGAAAAAAATAGAGATAAAAGAGAGAGAGGAGAGAAAGGCAGTAAATATACTATTCTGGAACGTAGCGGGGGTGAGGAGCATGGAGGAAGACGACTGGGAATATGTTAGGGAATTCGACATAATAGGGCTAATGGAAACCTGGGTGAAGAGGCAAGGGGCAAGAACTGTTGTGGAGAAACAACTGAAAGGGTACAGCATAGAGTGGAGGGACTCAAGAAGAGAAGGAAGAAGGGGGAGAGAAATAGGGGGAGGAATAATGGCGGTAAGAGAGAGGAAAGGGATGAATAAGGTAGAATGGAAGAAAGAAAGGACAAGTGAGGTAATAGTAGGAGAAATAAAGATCGGAGGGAGGAAATACATGATAGCATCGGTGTATATGCAACATGAGAAGAAGGAAAACTATGAATACCTAAGTGAAGAGATAGAGAAGAATAGAGGAAAAACAATAATTATAGCAGGAGACTTCAACGCAATAACAGGAAACGAAGGAAGGGAATGGGAGACAGAAGAAAACCTAGAAGAAATTAAGGCCAAGGATCAAGTGTTAAACGCAGAGAGAGAAGAAATGATAAAATGGCCAGGAGAAATGGGAGAAAAGAAGGAGATGAAGAGGGAGAAATAACATATATAGGAGCGAGAGGAATGTCAACGATAGACTATGTAGTAGGTAACGAGGAAGGTGATGAGGCGATAAAAAAGGTTCAAATAAAGGAGAGGGTAAAGTCGGACCACTCACCAATAGAGGTGGAACTGGGAGACAAAATAGCGGAAGAAAGAAAAGAAGAGGAAGAAAGAATGATAGACGACTGGAGCGAAGGAGGTATAAGGGAGTATTAGAGATGGATATACGCAATAGAGGGAACAGATAAATGGAAAGATATAAAAAATAGAGTGAAGAACGCAGTTGTAAAAAAGAAGATAAGGAAAAAAAAAAGGATCAACAAAAAGCTGGTGGAGAAAAGAATGTAAGACAAAAAGGGACAGGGTGATGGCAGAGTTAAATAAGGTAAGAAAAGGGGAAGGAGACAGAGGCAAATACCTAGAAGCAAAGAGAGAATACAGAGAGG